CATCCCAGGGTGTCCTGCAAACCCTCAAGATGCTGCCTGCTCAAGGCTGTCCTTCATCTTCTCCTGTGGCCCCTGGGTCCATCAGGTGCTTTCTGTCATCTTGTTCCCCCAGAGCTCCAGCCCTACGAGAACTTACATGATGACAATTACTGCGTGCTAAAGACTTTTCTGGCAGAGAAAGATGCAGGTAGGAGATGGATTGCCCTTCCTTGTGTCCCACACATGTCACTGAGAGAGTGGGGACTGACAGTTGTGATGGTGTGCGTGAGCTCCCCATGCTGCCGTGTGCACGCAGCAGCCTCTACCCTGGGTGCCCCTGGTCTCTGCAGGTAAAGGTGGACAGGCTGGAGAACCATTGGCCAAGCCCCTGCCTGTCCTGGAGTCTTTGGGAGACAGTGGGAGCAGTGATGGAGAAGAGAAGCTGGGGCCAACATCTGAGACTCAGTGGTGATGGCCCTTCCTTTCCTGAGGCTTGGTCCTCCAATGCTGGAAACAGGATGATGAAGCTTGTCATGGGTTATTGCTCCTCCTCAAATTCTCTCTCTCATCCAGCTCTAGAACCCTCTGTCACGGCACAGAAGTGGCTCAAGGCCTGGGTTGACCTCATCCTCATGCCAGTGAGGATGTGTTCTGGCAGTTCTCCAGTGCTCTGGCAAAGCCATCTCACTGACATCCTGGTGCCTGCAAATGTGCCCTGAGACCAAAGGAGCTCTCTGGGTCCCAATCCCTCTTTCCCCGCTTTGTCTCAGTACACCCACTTAGAACCAGTCCTCTGCTTGAGTGTGGCCTGACCACGCTGCCCTGACACCTGTGCTGCTGTGTCTGAACAACCAATAAATTGTTCTGGTTTGCAGGGGCTGCCTGCCCTGTGACAGCTCCCATCTTGTCATGGTTCCTCCTTGTTTTCTGTGTGAAAGATCCAACCTTATGAATCTTCATGGAGGAGCCTGGAGCAGACATTTCCAGCCCCCAGCAGCCCTGAAGGAGGCCTGAATGCTCCTGATGAGCTGCATGTGCAGTTTAATGCTTTGGGGTGCTGCTTTCCCTTGTTCCCATCCTATAGGTAATGCTGCCTTCACTATGCCTAGCCAGACCTCTGTGTCGATCTCTACCCCTGTGTGGGTGTTGGTGCTCATCTCCCATTTTGTGAGGTGCACTTGGCACCTCCTGGTACATCCTCATCCAGCAACCTTTGGGACCTGCTGGGTCTTGGCTGCTGCTGCTGCCTCAGTGCCACCTCCAACAGCCACTGTATGTCCCATCCTGTGGGATTCTGGTGCCTGATGCAGCCAGGATGCTGAGGGACAGCCCAAAGGTTCTGATTGGTGAGAGGCACACTGCTGGAAAGTGGGGCAATCAACCACTTTTTTTCTCCAGCTATGTGTGTTGTCTGGGATGTTCCCATCTCCTTCTGCCTTTGGGTACATAGGCTCTGCTGAGTTCCCTGGACTTGTGTATGACAAGCTGGTTGTGTGTTGTGCTTTTTACAGCCCTGAACACAGAGCTGTGATGTGTTTTTGCTTTAGTGTTATTTCTCTCCCCTGCTAAACCTGCTGGTACCTGGAGGCTGAGGGACTGCCTGAAGGCTCTCCTTGTTGAGGAGCACACCACAGGAAGATAGACCTCTCTCTTATCCAGCTTTTTTTCTGTCTGAGATGGCTTGCATGTGCCAGTAAGGACATGTTTTGACAGCCCATCATACGAGCTGTCTGACCATCACAGTACCCGCAACTGGCATCTGGGACCAAAGTATTTCCTTCCCACAGACTGTTGCTGGTGTGACCTGCATGCCTGATGAAGCTGCTCTTGATGGTATTGTGCAGAGGCGGGAAAAGGTGCTCAATTCCATATGCCTGTTGCTGGTTGAGAAAAGTGGATGAACAAGGTTGGGATAGGGGAAAACTGTTGCCATCTCCTGGGTTGCCCTGGTTCCCACTCCCTATCCCCATGTCCACTCAGACCTTGGGCTGTCAGCCTCATGGCTCTGCCTGCTTTTTCCAGACAATCAATAAAGGCTCATGGTTTGGAAGGGACTACCTGCTATCCCTGCCAGCTCCTGCCTGGTTCCCTCATTGCCCTTGTGGGGTCCTGTTCCCTGTGGGTTGCTGAACTAACTGCACCTTCTTAAGGAGAGCCATGAGCAGGGCTGCTGTTTCAGCAGTTGAGGCTCCAGATGTTGAAGTTCACATGCCTATCCCTATCCCTGCTTCTGGCCAGCTCTTCATGTGCTTTCTCAGAGGTCCTTCATCTCCTGTGGTCATGGAGGGGAAGTGCAGTGACTCATTGCCACTCTGAAACCCATGCAGTGTCATTGGGAAGCACATGGATATTGCCTCAGAAACAAGAGCAATACTTCTTGAATGCATTCTGGTAACTAGGAGGGTTTTGCATGGGAAACTCTGGGATCTTGGTGACAAGGTTTCTTCTGTTGAGTTTCTTCTGTTGGATGCTCCTGGGGTAAAAAGACAGCAGAAGTACTAACAGTTACGGGAGGTTCCCCCCTAGAAAAGGGAAGCCTTTTGCATTTCATGAGGAAGTGCGTCTGTTTCCTTCCGGTGGTTGCAAGCCTTGCAGCCAGCTACTGATTCCTGGGCTCAGAGGCAGCAAGTGGGGCTGAGATTTCAGTCCTGCCTGGGGATTTCACACTAGCATGGCTCTGCAGTTGCTGGCTCTGAGGTTTCTCCTTGCCCTTGTATCTCTGCTGGCAGCACAGGGCCAGGAAGAATTTGATCCCAAGGTCCAAGGAGTGTCTCAGGAAACAGGTAAGAAGTGGTTCCTCTTCACTGGGGAGATTGGGTTGCCCTTTTCTCTTGCATCTTTAGCGCCTGCAGCCCTGAGCTGGGGCCCAGATGGACCTCTGAGAACTGTGCTGGCTGGGGCACTTGCTGTCTCTGGGAGACCCCAGGGGCAGGAGCTACAATGATGTGTGGGTGCACTGGGGGTGCTGTGAGAGTGACAGGATTAGGCTGGATGTTTGGATGGGTCATGCCCTGCAGCAAGCCAATTTGCCAATCATTCTCTGGAGGCTGCAGGCATGAATCAGGCACAAATTCACATACCATGAAGCAGGGCAAGGGTCTTTAGGGAGCAGGAATCTCACTTTCCCTATGCATCCTATCCCCAGATGTGCCTAAGGGACACTGAGCCTGCTGGAAGCAGAGCAAGAGGGAACTTGCTGCCCCTTTGCCAGTTGGATGAGGCTGGGCAGGGACAGTGCCTAGGTGCATGTGTGTGGGGTGGGTCATGGCTGTGTGCTGGTGGGACAAAGCTGCTGGTTCTGGTGCTCAGCTGGGCATCTCTGGATTTCTGCCATCGGGGCTGTTTCAGAGCAAATCCTGACCATAAGTGGCTTGTCACTAGGATCTTCCTTATGGCAAAACCTTGCGTGCCCCTTTGGGAGAAGAAAGACTGTATTTTAAGCATTTTCAGGCCTCATAGAGCCCCTTGCAGAACCTGGAACAGGCAAGTGCTCCTTCCCAGGAGCCAGCATTCTTGCCTGTAGGAATATTGCCACAAAGTGTCCGCCTCGCTCAGCGCTCAACAAAGTGCTGCCTCAAGCTGTGCCTACTCAGCCTGGAGGATAGTGAATTTAGTGAGGAGGGGATGTGAAAGAGGGAGGGTTGTGGCAGGAGAAAGGGGCAGGGACTGTGGTAAAGTGGGGGGTGTGAATGGAGAAGACATCCCATGCTCATCCCCATATCCCACTGCACAGTGGCATGGGGCAGGAGGAGAGTAGCCAAGGGTCTAACTGAGTCAGAACACAGACCCCAGAAGTATAATAGGGACATGCCTGATCCCTGTAAGAGGAATGTGCAATGGCTGAAGAGACATGCATTTCAGTAGGACTGGTGGTGCCATGGCCCATCAAGTGCAGCCTGAGTTGGGTTGGGTGACATATCTGAATGAGAGGTTGGAGGAGGTCTCCTAGTGCAGGGGTGGTTGTCCTGGGAATCTCCCTGCTGTGGGCTATGGAGGAGGGAAAATAGTGTCCCTGGACACAAGGGTGGATGGGGCAGGTTCATGGATGATGACTGATCCTTCACATGCACAAGGAAATCCCCCTGCAACCCTCAACAAGACTTGCCTGCAGGTCACAACCTGGCAGGTGGATGTATCACCTTCTCTCCCCCTTCAGGGGCTGGAGGGATTGCTGGGGATTTCTTTCCCAGGATTGCTGGGGATTTCTTTCCCACCAGCCACTCACACCCCACCTCATCACCTCCCAGCCCAGGTAACACCCACTTTCATCTCTGCCAGAAAGGTGCCAAAGGCC